AAGGCTGGACTCGAACCGCCGAAGCATCAGCCATTTCTGGCCGGCAACTTTCAGCGTCATTAAGCCGCTGCCCCACCACGTCCCCATTCAACATTAATAGCTCAACATAAACCCAGAAAATGGATTAATTCATTAACCTGGTTAAGCATATTGTGTTGGGCCAATTTCATAGTCTCTCAACTTAACCATTATCACAGGGTTCTTTAGAAGGTAATAAAAAAGATTAAAGCTAAATAAATGAATACTAAAACATGTCCATATATTAGGTCTGTACAGTGTTTCCAATTAAATTCACCAAAGTGCTTCAGAACATGCAGGGGTACGAACGCAGTGCCTGTCTGCAACTTGTTAAAGTACCCGTGTGTTTCTCTGGGATCACACAGCCAGGGCAGCTTCAGCATCCCGGGGAAAGAGGCAGATGCTTTAAAGAGTTGCAGACAGATGCGAGGTTCATGTCCCCATGTACTCCGAAGCACATTTTGAAACTGAATCCAAAGTACTGCACATCCATGATACACATATGTGTGTACACAACCAATATATAGACAGAGTGAAACCTCATTTTAATGAACTACAGGTAGTTCTCATTTAGCGACCATGATTGGGACCAGTAATTTGGTCGTTAAGTGAAGCAGCTGCTAAATGAAACCACAACTGTACTTACAATCTTACTTCAGCTTACTTCAGCTTTCCTTTGCTTTACAGACCTGTGAAGGTTATAAATGCGAGGATTGGTTGCAAAGTTACTTTTTCATCACCATGATAACTGCGAATGGTCACTAAATGAGGTAGTCGCTAAGCGAGGACTACTTGTACAGTAATTGTGAGAGGTTATCTCTTACTTAGGAAGGTCCATGGGATTGAAGAGAAGGGCATCATGGTATTTTCATCATATAACGATGCTGTCATCACACAAATAAAGTACACCAAGTGGAAATTTAGTCCATAGCACACAAAGTTCATTGCCTTAAGGTCTGGTAAATCAAGATTTCAGTCTCTATGCCACCTTCTATTAAAGTTTCTTCCCTTCCCCTCTTGCTCACTCTCTCATTGCCAGCCCATCTGTTTGGGTGTTAATAAGTACGGAAAGATGGCACCTTTCCATCTTGGCCCCGGGAAGTGCCTGCGTGGAAGGGTTGCATCACAGGCGTTTGGTAATGGGTTATGATGCCAAGGAGCATTCTGGAGCGGTTTCTGTGGCAACTGCCTCCTTATGAGCCGCCTCGCCTTGCAGCAATGGGCCTTTGAGCTAGTGGGGTTCGGGGGGGGGGAGATTCCTATGCTTCTAAGGCTCCTAATCCCGCTGGGAGGTTTAGGGGGTGGGGTTGAGGGGGGTGGGGGCAACGGAAGCAAGGATGGGATGAGCAGCGCACGATAACAAGCCCGCTAGAAGGAAGGAACACAGTTGAGTGTCATGGAATTTGTAGGGAAGACGGTGTGTGTGTGTGTGAAAGAGAGAGCGAGAAAGACAGTATATACAGTAGAAAAGAGGGAAGTTTCTATAGCAACTAAAGAATTGGCTTTCAATAGCTATCATCTAACTAGTATCTACCTATCTACCTACCTACTAATCTCTCTCTCTAATTCCCTATCTCTTCCTGTCTGTGTTTGGTCTATGTCTGTCTGCCTAGTCTGTCAAGTCTGTCTATCTGTCTGTCTGTCTGTCTGCAGTCATCTATCTCTACTTCTCTATGGCTTGTCTATCTACTTCTCTCTCCTCCCTCCCTCCTTCCCTCCCTCCCTCCCCTTCTTTCCTTCCTTCCTCCCCTTCTCTCCTTCCTTCCTTCCTTCCTTCCTTCCTTCCTTCCATCCATCCATCCATCCATCATCTCCCTCTTCTTCCATTTCTCCCAGTTCCATGAACAATTTATTCCCATTAGTCCAGAATACTAATTCAATTTCAGCACATGCATTTGTTTAAAAGTCAGAAAGAGCTGTCTGGTAAAGACCACTCTGCCTGCAAGAGAAAGCAAAGTTAGCCTCGCTTTCCTTGGGAGGATCACTGGATGGGACTTTTGTTAAGAGAAGCCCATTTCAAAGCACAACCAGGAGGGCTTTTTCTACAGCAGGACCCTGACTCTGAAACGCTTTCTGGAGTCAGATGTGCCAGATATCAAAATAATGTCCTTTTATACACCAGCATGAAAAGCATCTATGTGCATTATCATGGGCTTTTCACTTTGTGTTTCAGTTTCAGCAAGCAAAAATTTATCTTTATCCCTCTCATTTGGGGACTTATACTTTATTATTTCATATTGTTTATGGTGCCTGATCTCTGTACACTGTTCTGAGAACCCACTGGAAGGATGGATGAAGCATAAACAATCATAAATACAGCACTTTTTCGGGGCTGCAAGAATGCAAGAAAATATGGTCAGAGTAATAAAAAATAATAATGAATCCAACTAGTTCTGCTTCCAAAATGCCCACAACAGGGTATGGTTGTCTGCCCAAGCTCACACAGACTGCTCCTGAACATGGTGGCTCAAAATATCTGGACATTCACACTGCGAGTGATTATTTAAAAAACTAAAAAGAAATCCTACCCCCCAAGAGGAAACTATTAATAGGATAGGAGGAACTCTAAGATATGCAGAGATATAAAAATCTCAGGACAACCCCACTCCCAAAGTTTGTAAAGCAGGAGCCCCCCCAAAATTGGACTGGGCTGCTGAGAATGCCTGAATGTGAGGGGACTGGATAGGATACACAGCGGAGAAGTTCCAATAGAAGAGATTTATCTGTAGCTCAGGGTTGAGCTGTGGCATCCTTGGTGCTCTCTGAGCCTGGCTGTTTGCTCCCAGACATTTCATTACCCAACTAGGTAACATCATCAGTGCGAGTAAGTGTGGGGTTCGCTCCCTGTTTATATACAGTAGCTTGCCCTCCCAGTGTTGGTGAGAATGTGGTTTTTCTCCTTAGTAGTTCCTTGATTAGGGTACTGTTTTCTGCTTGACTGTTTGTCTGGTGTTAATCCCTGCTTATCTGGGTGTTGGTTGCTGGAGAGGATGTGTTCTGGTCTTTTTGTTTCCTTCTTAGCTTTTTTATTGTCTCTTTTCTGGAGAAGGGTGTTGGTTGCTGGAGAGGATGTGTTCTGGTCTTTTTGTTTCCTTCTTAGCTTTTTTATTGTCTCTTTTCTGGAGAAGGGTGTTGGTTGCTGGAGAGGATGTGTTCTGGTCTTTTTGTTTCCTTCTTAGCTTTTTTATTGTCTCTTTTCTGGAGAAGTTTTGAGGAGAAGTGGGGAAGTTGCAGTGCTAAAGAAAAAGCACTTTGCACTGCCAGATTTTGTCGCAGTTGCTATCGATAAAACCTTTAAAAGCCTAAGAAGGGCAGCATCTAACAGGGCAAAGGTCTTTCTAATTCAGCATCTTGTATTTTACAGGGGCCACCCCGATCCTCCAGGAATCCCACCAGCAGGGCAAGAGGAGAGGTTTTACTGAATGGAAGGCTCCGTGGGTTAAGAATCTGACCGTCTTGTTGTGGATATGATGAACCCAAGACTCCTGTTGGTGATTTATTCAAGATATCAATGCCCTCTGCTCCAGGTCTTGATTGAATAGAACATACAGCAAGAAAGCTGGACAGAGGCTTCCCAAGAAGGCTAACTGTGCAGAACTGAGTTCTTCCTATCCTGATTCTGGATAAATTCTCCAGTCCTCTTCTCCCCCTGCCCCCCGCCAGCTCTGGCAGCTGTCACCCCACTGCTCAGCACTGCACCAGATGCTTTTTCTTAATTTGAGCATTGCCTGCCGACAATGATTTGCCCAACCCTCTGTACAGCCGTAAGTGTCAAAATTATGCATATTTGCAAAATAACTCTGTCTTCAGAGACTGCACTCTCTCCTCCCTCTCTTAATTGGCGCTAACACTTTTCAGCAGAAATTATGCCTGAGTGCATTACATCAGGTTGCAAACATGTGCTAATTGGCAGCAATGGCTACTTAGCTCTTTCAGGAGACAGAGTTTTAAAGCCACGCAGAAGCTCAGTTTGGAGCCGAGGGAGAAAGAGTAAAATTCACACTGATAGCTTTTAGCAGCCCAAGGGCAAAGCGGGGCTGAAATAGTAGGGCGAAGAGAATTCGATCCTTTCCCCCAAACAGCATTACAGGGACCTTCCTAAGAACATAGGCCATAATGTACATTATAGATGTTATTAATTACATTTGTGTCCTATTTCCTATGTTGAGACTGCACAGAGCGATAGAGGAAACTGCTTCAATATCTTCCCAACAGCCCTGTGAGGTAGAGCCGGCGAGAGAGAAGAGGAGCATAGAGCTTTAGGGACGAATGGGGATTTGAACGTGGCCAAATGAGGCCACGTTCAAAGCAGTGACTATTTCAGGAGGGGGTTAATTATCTGAAGACCCCTATCCCAGATTGCATGAGAGTTTTCTGCCCCGGGGGCTCATACAAGCAAGTCACAAGCCTATGGAGAGTGAGTCAACTCCTCCACATCTGCCCTGGCACTCTCCAAGCGTTCCCTTAACTTTAGCAGTTACTGTACATGAAATGAGTAATAAAGAAAAGAAACCCCTGCTAGGTTTTTTTTCTCTCCCTCTCTTTTTAAATTAAATTTGGTGGCCCTGGGCAAGGCTGCGAGGGAGTAAACACGCGGCCTCCCCCTCATCTGAAGATGAGCTAGGATATAAAACTGAAATGTAGCACTGGATGTAAGCTGATGTGATGCTTATACAATACCCCTTCTATGGCTACAACCAGAATACTGTATTGCAGGGTTTCTCAAGCTTGGGAACTTTAAGATGCGTGGACTTCAACTCCCAGAATTCCCTAGCCAGCCATGCTGGCTGGGGAATTCTGGGCGTTGAAGTC